GTATTAATTTGTGTATACTATAATATTAATTAATATTAACGATAATAATAAACAATAATAAGCAATCAACGTTAAATTAATATTAATTAATATTATACAATTACGTTTTAATTATAAACGGGGTTATCCTCGCTGATTCTCAAATGTTTCACTTTTAAAGGCTATGCTTTTTCTTTTTTTTTTCTTTTTTTTTTTTTTTGATTTTTCGAACTCGTGTCACTTATGTAGTCGGTGTAACATTTACAATCCTACGCGCGAGAAATGCGAAACTTACGTTTCTACCTGTGAAAAGGTTGGACACCCCTGTCCTCGAGTTTTTTCTTTATTTTTTTCTTTTTTTCCTCGTTTCTTCTTGGTTTTATATTTGGCAGTTATTATAAAGACCGTATCAGTTCCACGAGTGACCCTTAGCGGCGCGATTATGTTCGACGATTCTTGATCGTAACTACCGCACACAAAGCGATTATAATTATCATTATCATTACTATTATTATTATTATTATTATTCATTTGTTATTAACATACGTACGTTATATTATTAACAACAGTATCATTGTTTAATCATCGTTACCATTATTGTTAGTCATTTATCATTAATAATCGTTTATCGTTAATCGTCAACGATCATTACCAGTTATCGTTATTATTATTATCATTATTATTATTGTTATTATCATTATCACTATTATTGTTGTCCCTTCTTCCTTCTCTCATCTCGCGTTTGTTACTATACGTTACTATACATATATATATATATATATATATATATATCGTTACGTGAAGGCCGCGACAACGCTCTCCTCTCGAGGGAGAGACGCGCGTTGAAACGAAGCGCGCGGCGTTTCCGTACGATTTTCTCACCGCGGTGTGTAATACGTGTCTCGAACGAGTCCGGCGTTCGCGCTTATTCGACAAGCGGGGACGCGCGGTCACGCGGCGATTTAAAAGTTTTTATCACGGATCGCCGGGTACGACAGCCGAGCATCGATCACCTATCCGGAGAGAGATCGACAGAGAGAAAGGGTGAGAGGAAATTGTTAAAGAGAAAGCGACTGCGATTTCAATTATTAGGTTTTCGAACGGAGAAAAGGTTCAGCCGAAGAAAGTGAACGCACAACGTGGCCGTGTATTGTCAGCAGTGTTTCAACGTGTCGGGGGGGCGCCCTCCCTCTTTGCCCTCCTCTTTGTCCTCGTATGAACACGTCTACTTGTGTGTGTGTGTGGTGTGTGGTGTGTGTGATGTGTGTATCGCCTTCGAGTGTGAGCGTCGAGTTTCGTGCTCTCTTTCTCTCTCGCGCTTTACACTCGCGGTTTCTATTCTTTTTCGTGCGAGGGGACACGCGTTCGCGAAACGAACGAAACACGGTTCAATCGGGTAATTTGGTCGGCAAGCGAGAACCGAACGAACGACGAAGAGATGGTCCTCCTCTTCCGGTCACTTCCTTCTTCCTTGTCTTCTCTCTTCCCTTCTTGTCCACTCCACCGAGAGGAGGCTCCCCGTCGAGCATTGGAAGAGCACGTTCCTCGCGCTCGTGCAGTCTCTCCGTTCCCAGAGGTCCCTTCCTGCCGCGGAAGGAAACAAGGGAACAGGGACGAAGATAGGCAGAGAGCAGCGGAGAAGAAAGGGCGAGTCGTTTACGCGCTCTCGTTCCTCGTGGTCGTTCCGCCGTGGCAGCCTCCTTGAAACTCACGTGTCGTCGTTTCTGCGAGAAAGAGAACAGCGAATGAATGCGGGACGACCGGGTCGATGCGAAACGAACGAAAACCGGATAACAAGCGAGGTGGTAGAAATGTAAAAAAGAAAAAAAGACAGGAAAAGAAAGAAGAGAGGAAATATCGTAACGTCGTTAAATCTTTCAGCCGCGAGCAATTTTCAGATTTCTCTCTTGAGAATCGTCGAATCGGATAAAGTTCGCGGATATGTTCAAACATTTATAGGGGACATTTCACGAATATATTACGAGTATCACGTGCATGTATAAGGCGCTTTGTAACAGTAAAGAGATATTATACGTGAAGAAATGAGCTGAGAGAAGAAAAGATGAAATTATTTCGTTCGAGACTTTATTATTACCAAGGGAATAAGGTTTGGACATTTGTCATCGTTAGACTGCGATATATTCATGTAATTTCATATCGTTACAATAATGGAGTCTGAAATTTACTTTCCCTATTGAATATTATATCAATCTACGGCTTTCTTCTTTCAAGTATAATACAAAATTGACAAGTACCTGCAGCAGTATTACAATTTTCCGTTCCGTTCACTACGTAGGAACGTCCATTCTTCCTCGTAAGTTTGACATTGATCTATCTGATTTAGACGAGTAGGAACAACTTGTATGACTCTAAATGGTGACACTGAACGTCCGCATTTTCATTTCCAGTTTGAGTTTGTACAGGTATAATTATGGAATTTAGTCACCGTCCCTGAAGGCTTGAAACTCAATTCCGTCCAATCGGTTTCGTAGATACCTATCTATCGTTTCGGGAAAATTGCGTACTGATGAAATTATTGATGACAACGAACGAGCTAAACTTGCTACGTAAACCGAATTATTAACATTCTCATACTGTATTAATTTCGTTTTCTGGACGAGTCTCGCGTCGCGCGAAGAGTGACGTTACGCGATACTTGAATGCAACAACTCGTGTACGCACGTAGGTGCCATTGTTCATCAGAAATTGATGGACAGTGGCATTCTCTTTAACGTCGTTGATATCATGAACATTTTAGCGTGGCAATCGCTGCGAAGTTACACTGTATCACTCGCAACGTAATTGAGAACAACAAAAAAAAAAAAA